TAACAGTATAGTCGATCAGAAAGCGCTGTATGGTGGGAACAATATGTATGGCTGCCATGTATACTCGTATGTGCTGCATGTGGTAAAAGGTCACGTGAAACATTCACTTGTCCTCCATTGAATAATTGGAATCAGACTTTGGAGATGAAAGCGCGATACAATCAGCATAACTATATGGGCAAGGAAACGCTTCTCTTTTCTCGTCACGAAATCGCACCCCTACAGGTATACATGATCGCTTACGGTTTTTACATTTCCTCGATGAACTTATAATCAAATGCTCAGCTATGACTTTGTCAAGCCACAAGCCAAAGCACTCTAACCATCAGACCCCCCCCCCCCCCCCTCATCCTTCGCCGCTCCTCCAATAATTTAAGGGGGAGGGCAAAGTCTGACCTCTTAGTCCGACCTGCACATGCGTAATTGTTTAAAGGGACCCTAAAAGTATTATTCTAGAATTAGTAAATTACTCTTTCACAGTACCAAAACCACCAAGCTTGCCACGACAAGACGCTTGGTAAGTGAGAAAACGTGCGAAAAGAAAGTGCGGCTGGTGAGACTGGCGACTTCACCTTGAACTTCCAGGCCCCAGTCAGCTTGACGCCATCATTAGTAGATCTTGACAGTGGCATCCAGGGCATATATCGTTCCCAATCAGTAAAAACAAAATGAAGTAAATGGTACTCTGATGGGGTCACAGATTTAACATACCAAGTTTCGGGAAGTTTCCTTGGACTGATGTCGTCAAAACGCCGCACAAATGTTCTATGGAATTCTCGATTTCATGTGTGGAGATTATCGGCGCGAAACGTACCTTTAGACTTTTCCCCCTCAATTAACGAACGTACGATGTTGAAACTGACGTCATTACAGCTCTCCGAGTACAATTCATTGGTGTAGAGCAATTCATTATTTCCCTTTAGTGCCCCTATAAAAGCAGTGTTTAAAGCAGGCCAGGGGGTCTTCCTCAATCTAGGACCACTAATTCTACCAAAGGCTGTTTACTTCCCACCTTTACCCCTCACTTACCACCTCTGAAAGCCGGTAACCAAAGGCAGGTCACCGTGAGAACTGCGTCATCGCATCATTTTTCTTATCATTTTTGCGAACACCACGAATAGGTGGTAGCACAGGCACATGAAGTAGGATTCATGCCCTCAGCGCTCCAAGCAATGTTATAGATGGATCACCTGCAGCAACGTTGGGACGACACCAAGGCAAGCAAAAGGGGCCAAGCTTCAGGCACAGATGAAGCGTCTAAAGAAAAAGAGCCCCATTGTTCCACAATTATGGGAAGAAATAGAGGTTTTGGTGGCTGCAAGACCGTAAGACAGTCCAAGAATATGATACTCGAAAGAAAACAATTAACGGGGAGATAGGGATGCTGCGGTGAAACTTGCCATCTCCACTGACGCAGAAGCAAGCCTGTGCTAACCTCACTGTGCATGACTGTAAGGCACGCCGGAAAGGGAGACTGTGTTAATTTTGACAAGTTGAACGTCTGTCGGCGTGGCGCAGGGGTTAGTATACTCAGTTCATAATTCGAAGGTGCCAGTTTCGATGCCACGCTGTCGCAGCGTTTTTTTTTACGGGTGCCTAATACATTCTTTTCTATACAATTATTTTCATTATTTCTTTAGCGGCAGCTTGTCGCGGTAGTTCTGACGCTGCTTCGCGCTCCAGCATTGCCGGCTGGAGCAAGCCATCCACCATCCGCTCCACCATACGCCACCATACTCCATGTGCCACCATTTCCACCGCCATAATCCACCAAAATGGTGGATGGTGGAATCCACCACTCCTATGGCGGACGTTTTTTCAATAGGAAATCAACGCACGAAGGCGTTCTTGCGGTTCGTCCTGATCAATATTACCGTGGTCGGGATTAGAACCCATGGCCTCGGGCTTCGTTACGGATGGCAGATGCTGCAGAGGGTTGAAGAGCTTCCCTTCATGTAAACAGAAGCCGGAACAAACACTGAATCTCATTTTCCTCTCAAAACCCCAAGGTTATCTCATATCTGGTTACAATACAGCTTGATGATCTCCTTGGAAGACATGACAGTACCGGCAGGGCGACGCCGTTTGACTTCTGGAATATGAGGAGCTAAATCTGCGGATTTACTTTTAGATATGTGGATAAACTTGTAAATTTGCCTTCAATAATATCGGTGGTCAAATGGCTCTTTTTTTACGGGTGCTTGATATATTCTTTTTATACAATTATTTTTATTATTTCTTTAGCGGCAGCTCGTCACGGTGGTTTTGACGCTGCTTCGCGCTCCAGCATTACCGGCTGGAGCAAGCCATTCACCATCCGCTCCACCATACGCCACCATACACCATGTGCCACCATTTCCACCGCCATAATCCACCAAAATGGTGGATGGTGGAATCCACCACTCCTATGGCGGACGTTTTTTCAATAGGAAATCAACGCACGAAGGCGTTCTTGCGGTTCGTCCTGATCAATATTACCGTGGTCGGGATTAGAACCCATGGCCTCGGGCTTCGTTACGGATGGCAGATGCTGCAGAGGGTTGAAGAGCTTTCCTTCATGTAAACAGAAGCCAGAACAAACACTGAATCTCATTTTCCTCTCAAAAACCCAAGGTTATCTCATATCTGGTTACAATAGAGTTTGATGATCTCCTTGGAAGACATGACAGTACTGAATCTCATTTTCCTCTCAAAAACCCAAGGTTATCTCATATCTGGTTACAATAGAGTTTGATGATCTCCTTGGAAGACATGACAGTACTGGCAGGGCGACGCCATTTGACTTCTGGAATATGAGGAGCTAAATCTGTGGATTTCCTTTTAGACATGTGGATAAACTTGTAAATTTGCCTTCAATAACATCGGTGGTCAAATGGCTTTTTTACGGGTGCTTGATACATTCTTTTTATACAATTATTTTTATTATTTCTTTAGCGGCAGCTCGTCACGGTGGTTTTGACGCTGCTTCGCGCTCCAGCATTGCCGGCTGGAGCAAGCCATCCACCATCCGCTCCACCATACGCCACCATACACCATGTGCCACCATTTCCACCGCCATAATCCACCACTCCTATGGTGGACGTTTTTTTCAATAGGGAAATCAACGCACGAAGGCGTTCTTGCGGTTCGTCCTGATCAAAATTACCGCGGTCGGGATTAGAACCCATGGCCTCGGGCTTCGTTACGGATGGCAGATGCTGCAGAGGGTTGAAGATCTTCCCTTCACGTAAACAGAAGCCGGAACAAATACTGAATCTCATTTTCCTCTAAAAACCCAAGGTTATCGAATATCTGGTTACAATTGAGTTTGATGATCTCCTTGGAAGACATGACAGTACCGGCAGGGCGACGCCGTTTGACTTCTGGAATATGAGGAGCTAAATCTGTGGATTTCCATTTAGATATGTGGATAAACTTGTATATTCGCCTTCATTAACATCAGTGGTCAAATGGCGATAGTTATAGCGCGAGAACAGAACGACGACATAGAGACAAGAAGGACACGAAGGCTCGGGTCCTTCTTGTCTCTGTCACACTTCTAAGGTCAAATGGCGTCTGTTCCTTTCTGCAGTTCTCTCTCGTTGAGCTACTTACGATGGTACTTATGTTCAAACACCAATTCGCTCAACATTCAACTCTATTAAAGAGTGACGAAGATCAGAAGAGCGGACTCGCGTGCCCTTATGGAGTATGCAACGCGCCAAAGAGTACCGCGGCGACGCAATGAAAGGCGACGAGTTAAGCCTTCGCCCACGAAACTGTCGCTGTTTATCTTCAAGAGAGGGCGACACTGCAGCGGCTCCCAGCTCTGTGCACGGTGTACAGAGCGTGGGAATATTTTACAAATTGTAGTTAATTTGGTCACTAAAATCGTTCGTATTAAAAACTTTATTTAGGGGGAGTAGTCCTAATTACTACTTTGCGAGACGTAGCCACCTTTTAGGGTATGAGATATAGTATTTGCAGAACTTCTCCAAGCTAGGGTTTTTATGAAGTTAATGCGAGAGACTAAACGTATTGCCAGCTGTGAAAAAAAAAAGTGCGCCTTAAACAAAAAGAAAGTGCAAATGATAGATGCAAGACGACGGCTGGCGTAAATGTGACACACGAAGACACACGCTTGATCTTACGGCCCTCTCTCGGCTTTTTGTCTTGTGCGCTCTACGTCCATGTTACAGTGTACATCATGTCGAACGTCATGGCGATATCAGTACGCTTTGATAACGCACATATCTTTGCCATTTAATAATAATAATAATTTTTGAAGTTTCACGTCCCAAAACCACCATATCGTTACGAGAGACGCTGTAGAGGAGGGCTAAGAAAACTTCCACCACCTGGTGTTCTTTAACATGCACCGAAGTCTAGGCCCATGGGTCCTTGCCATCTAAGGCGAAATGATAGCACTGCATGGTGGTGGTTAGAAGAGGAGAGAGGCACCTAATTTCTGCAGCCCGGACGGGAGCACGGCGCAGTGCCTGCAGGGACGTGTTCATGCGACAGTCTGCGACCCGTACGATCGCCGGCAACGTAATAGCGCGCGCCGTGCCATCATGCGGCCGGTGAAAGTAGCCAGGCCGGAGGCGCGTGAGCGGCGTCGCGGCAGCGAGGCGGAGACAGCACCACCTCCGGCCGTCGCCGCACCATCTCGTTAGCGTTTTCACGGGCGAGGAGGGCGAGATCGGCCGTCGCGCGGTCACGCTGCTCCGGAATGTTTACCCTTTTGGCGCACCTCCTCACTCCTGCGCGGACAAAGGCGCCCTCACCGAAGCGGCGGAGCACTAACACGTGTTGTTGTTTATTTTGCTGAAGCCGCCAGGCGTGCGAAGTAGCGCCCCTGCGGAATTTCGACGGCAGTGGCGCTTCGGTCGCTCTAGGCGTTCGGTTTCCGAAGCTCCCCGACGGCGCCCGCGCTTCGTCATTGGCTGCAGCTTCTAGACCTCGCGGTGCACGTGCTCTCTGATTTGTCCCGGCAGCAAGTAGCGCGAGCGGAGCGGTACAGCGATGTCGCGTTGTTGTGGCGGTGGCGACGAGCGCTGCCGTTGAAGGCGGGTCTGCTACGCGTGTTCTGTGTGCGGTGCGGTGGCGTGTGTGCGGGCACGATGCCGCATGGCAGCGGCGGAGACGACTTGGCCTCCTCGGACGAGATCAAAGTGTTCAAAGACGAAGGCGAAGAGGAGAAGCGCTCCTCGGAGAACTTGACGGACCTCAAGTCAAGCCTGGTAACTGAAGGCGAGGAGGTAAGTGCCGCCGTCGCCGCTGCCAGGACCTCGGCTTGCCTCGCCGCGTCGTGCCACGCTGACTTTGGAGTATCTCGGCTGCAGCAAGATGCGTCGACAGCGAGGGGCCTGACGCCGACCTCGGGTTTGTGCCGGTTTTTGCAGGAGAAGATAGTTGGCCTACCCGGGCAAGCGACCTCCGGCTACGCTTCGCCGAAGCCCACGCGGTCGGACGCCTTCGGTTCGCTATTCGGTGAGTGAACTAATCGTGAACTGTTTCAACAGCCGATCTATCCTGGAGCGCCAGGCGCTTTGTCGTCGCCCTCTCATTTCATGCGCTTCCAGCGCGCATTACGTGAGAATGCGACGACGCACGCATGCTGTTTGTTGTGTCGAGTGTTTGCACACTTATTTGCATGGAATGTTCTTCTTTCTTTCAACGTTGTTTAGCGCTGAATTTCGGGAAGTATTGTGTAAAGTTACGCAGCACGGCGTTCCCCTATAACTACCGCATTACATTACCCGGGAGGATGTGCTGACAACCCAATTAATACAGTACTTCACATATTGGTTCCCATTCTAGTTCTCTTTCGTTGGATTTGTAGTGAATGACCGGTCAATTTGCCAGTCGCTTTCGGCCCGATTACTCTCATGAACTCAGATTTTTTCGTTCATTTTCGTTTGTTGCAGGCTTAGTTCTTAAAACTACACCTTAGCTCAATTACTGTGCTGCTCTATTCTTATTGCAGACAATTTAGAACATTTAGGTAAGGTGAAGTCATTTTGTAAGATAGTCGGGAAACCGCCGGGCTACGAAAAAAAGGCCCGTTGAAACGAATACACAAGGACAATTCGATGCGTTCTCGAGCCAAATTAGCGCTCGATTCTCTGCCACGGTTCGTGTAAATGTGAAAGTTTAGTGACCGTTCTGTTCTGTGTATTGGGGTTTCTTTTATTTAGAATTTGTTCTAAAGTTTGCTGGCGCTACTGTTTCTCCTGTCACCGGTGCGTCGTGGTTGGCGCTTCTTTTTTTGCTGATAGTAAAACGTGATAAGGGTGACTGTGAGCGCGACCATGGTGAACGCGAGGTTTGGTCTTCGTTCGAGCGCTGACTAAAGGCAGAGCGGGAAACCCAGATAAGATAAGGCCTGATATGCCGGCTGGTGAAGGCTCGGGGAGGACTCGAGAAGCAATGGAGGGGGTGCGGCCCCGTCTTGAACGCGCGCGGAGGGGGCAGTCGAGAACGAAGGGGAGTGGTGGTGCGGGGAGGGGGGGTTGTGAGCCCTCTGTCGGAATGCGGTTTGTCTCCTGCGGCTGGTGCCAGTGACGTGTATGCTCTTCTGCTGTGAAGCAGGCGGTCGCTTTGGAAGCTATCTTTCTTTGCTTGGTCTTTTTCTATTTTTATATTTCTGTTGGCCGACTGAAACAGTAGGGAACAGTCAGTCCCCTGCCGTCGACGATCTCTGCCCAGTCCGCATTCGAAAAACACGTTACTATATTGTTTTCACAGAGTAGACGTCATCAGTGAATAAAAAAAAAAAAAGCACCGGTTGCAGCGCTACGACAGTTTTTGGACTGTGTAGCTTTCGATGATACTGCAGGGTGACATCGGTGATGAGCCCATTATTGAGTACAGGCTGATCAGATTTTGCAACCTCTTCCTCTTCTCTAAAGCAGTGGCTAATCGCATTAGCATTCGATTTCATTGCGTTAATCTGATTTTTTCTGATCTCATTACGATTTTCGTGCAGGAAACATGATTGCGATTCATTTAGTATGTACAGGATTGGTATTGAAGTAAATATTCATGAAATGTGCTTCAGGTAGACGTTAAAAAGCCACCGCGGAAATGCCCGCAGTGTTCAGCACCTCTATACGATTTCTTGCGAACGTTTAAGCGTATGTGTTAGTGATCAAGCGTCCGAACGAGCGTCAGATGTCGTACCACAGACTCCATTTTGACTGGTAACGAGGGCTTTAGCCTATCGCTGTCAGCGCCAAGGCTGCCGAGCATGGCCGACTGTCGGAGTCTGGCAGATTGCGATAGAGCGACGGTGGTGAAATCTTCAAATTTTATCGCGCTCTTTCACAGGGAGCGGCAGGCGCGTATCCGTGGCAAAGAGAAAAAGTGATTTGGTCCTGGGGGAAGTGTATTTTTCTGATGCGCGTGCTCTGTTGCACTGTCTTTGGTGCAAAACAGCGTGGGCAGAAAAACGCAGGACAGGATTCATCCTCTTACCCTTGGTGCTATTTAAGTGTATGGAATGGATAGTTTGCTGCTGGACAACTCTTTATTACAGGGCGGTGTTACGGCTGACGTGACAATTCTGGTGTGGGATTTTCGCTGACTTTTGATGCTTTTATTTATCGTCGCCGCGTTCGAAAACAAAGACTTGGGTGCACGTTAAAGAACCCCAGGTGGTCAAAATTTCCGGAGCCCTCCACTACGGCGTCTCTCATAATCAAATGGTGCTTTTGGTACGTTAAACCCCACAAATCAATCAATCAGCGTTCGAAAACAATTGTGGACTACTGAGCTGTGTTTGATATTGTTACAAAAGCGGTTTCTTCGCGGTCCGTGTAACAATGTTCGTGTAAAAATATTACTATAGCAGTCGTGATGCTAGTAGAGCATGTGTTTGTTGTCTGTCCGTGTGTTCCTTGCGCTTTAATCACGTCCGCTGGATGCGTTATTGCCAAGTGCCGGGTTTTGAGGCTAGCTGATCTCTTCCTAAATCGGCGTTCTAAAACCCGTGGTTAGCCGTATTTCGTTTTCATTACTGCGGCTTACAAAAAATGGTTTGAGGTCCATGTACTCAGATTATTTAGGTGCACGTTGGAGAACCAACCGCAGGTGTTCGAAATTTCCGGAGCCCTCCACTGCGGCGTCTCTCATGATCATATCGCGGTTTTGGTAAGTTAAACCCCAACAATTATTATCACAGCAGCTTCGTAGGACAAGCATTCATCGGTTGCCCCGCTGCGGTGGTCTAGTGGCTAAGGTACTCGGCTGCTGACCCGCAGGTCGCGGGTTCGATTCCCGGCTGCGGCTGCTGCATTTCCGATGGAGGCGGAAATGTTGTAGGCCCGTGTACTCAGATTTGGGTGCACGTTAAAGAACCCCAGGTGGTCTAAATTTCCGGAGCCCTCCACTACGGCGTCTCTCATAATCATATGGTGGTTTTGGGACGTTAAACCCCACAAATCAATCAATCAAGCATTCATCGGTTTTGTCCAAAAATCGAATTCATATGTCAATTGCGAGATATATTGCTCCGATAAGCTCGCTCTTTGGCTTCTTTTCTGACGTTCTTGGAGCGATATATGGAAACGAGTCGATCACAATCGGGGCTTCCATTCCGTTTACTGTTTCGTGAAAATATTTTACACTGATGTAATTATAGACAGGTGCATCTCGTGTGGGCAATCTACACGCTCCGGCTACGCCTATATTTCGCCATTCTTATTCACAGTTAAAGTAGCGAAATATAACGAAATAACGCGTCAATTCATGCAGAAGTGCACTTGCAACTATCGTAGATACCATCTCAAGCTTCGCGGCGGTTTGGGCTATAGTCGCTGATGCTCTTTTGCATCGTTTGTTGACTGGAGCCATAGGAAAGGCGAATCGCGAAGCAATTTCGGCAACTTTGTTCAGAGTCCTTCTCCACTATGCATACTTGGGCACAACGCGATAACGACGAAGACGGAAGAGAACAGGCGGGAGCGACGCGAACGTCACTATCGATGTTGGAACCATGCGGCGTCTGGGAACAATCCTGCATGAAAGGAACGTGTGCCACCCGGAGCGTGTAAAGAATCGTACAGTTGGTATTGCGTGACGTCCTCCGCAAGGGGCGCTAGCGCGGCAGCCGCCCATAGTTGTGGTCTCGCGTGCGATCATCATTGGACCGCGGCCAAAGTTTTAAAACGTGTTAATGAGGTGCAGCGCCGCCAAACGTGACGCGGTCATATACCGGATCGCTCTCTGGATTTCGTGCCGACCGGTTGTGCCCTCGGGATATCCGACGTCAGCGTAGCTCTCGCCGACTGGGCTGGCCCTACGCCATCTCCTGACGCCGATCTCCGACGACAGCGCAGCTCTGGCCGACTGGCTCGCCCTACGCCATCTCTTGACGCCGACAAGAGCTCTCGCCGAGTGGTGCCCCATCCTCAGACTTCTGCGACCGTGTCCATCTTTGATATCTTCTTCGTACTTTCGTATGTGGCTGTCCCTGCGCCTCTCTCTATCTCTATACCTTTAATTCCTATCCTTTTTAATCCCTCTTTACCCCCATCCCCCGTGAGCTATTGAGGTGCCCCCCCCCCCCCCAGAGACAGTTACGGGGCTCACTTGTATCTTCTTTCCATTTAAGAATCACCTCCCCGGACCATGGCTATGGCGGCGCACTCGCTGACGCTTCCTTGCGGGGAGGGTTCCTGCTGCATCGGTGTGTGTGGGAAGGTATACCGAAGTTGTCTCCGTGCAACAAAGCAGTTTTAACGCGCATATTTTACAGCGAAAGCTGTTATGAGATCGCAACGGGGGGCCGTATATAGTTGTCCGGTGTCGTCGATGTCCGTAACTGATATTGCGCGAAATAAGAAAAAAAAAATGGAAGAAATATCACGATGAAACGGGATTAAAACCTCGGCCCGCGCCAGCCTAGTATTCCACGCTTAGTCATGACATATTTTTTCTTTATTATTTAAAAAAAATAGAAAAAAAGACATGTCGGTGCTCGAAACTGATGCGCGCAGAAACCCTACATAAGTGCTATGTCGGGAAGGAACCGCGTTAAAAATACGCAATATAACGTCGTAGAAGATTAAAAAAAAACAACTAGGCGTCATATAGAAAGCGAATAATGGGAGTAGACGTCGCACAATGTGAAGTGCGTTAATGATTGGGTCGTTGAATGCTTTCAATCCATTACGATAGGATCAGCCATAATAATTCATGGTCGTCAGCCACCGATTCAATTAATGGAGTAGTGAGCACCTTGCTACCGTGTACAATCGGCGTCAAATGAAACACGAACAGCGGACCGCGTGCCCCAGGTATTGGAAAAGGTGCGTCCTCCCTCCAGTGATCACCACAGACACTTCCCCTCACCTGGTTTGGATGCACCGCGGGACCGCCTTACAGTCCGATATTTTCGCTTCTGTCGTAGTTCTCATATTCGAAATGAAGGCAACAGGAATGAAAGAAAATGAAAGCGGAACGACGAAAATCTCTCGGCACGCCGGCCC